TTTATTGTTTACCTAAATTTAATTCTTCATATTTAATTATTTACTAATTAATTAGTAGTTAACTTGACTCCTTTTGCCATTTCATATTTCCCTTTCATAATTCTCTCTCATAATTCCCGCCGTTAGAGAACATGCAGAATATTCACCTGGTTTCATATTTCCCTCGTCACCATGATCCTCCCGATCCACGTAAGTTCTGCCGGCAACCTCGGAAGTATAGTTATTTCAAGGGTGCCGGTTATGCAGTGAATAGAGAACTCCGTATGGAAAGCAATAACAAGCAATAACGTATCAATAAAACATAAAAGTATTATTTACGATTTTATTTTTTTAGTTCATTATTTATTCATTTTCAAAAATAATTTGCACTATGTGTGACTTGTGCGAATTAAAGACAGTACACTCTATGTACGGGAATCCTGACCCTCTCTTTTACCATAGGTAATATAATTGAAAAAAAGTTACAAGGCGTAGGTTTTACAGACGTTTAATTCTACAAAACCCCTTTTTGTAAGCATTGCGGTCATCTTCAGTGAAATAAAAATAAGAGAAATGTCTAAATTACAATTTGTATAACATAAATATGTAATTGAAGTAACATGATTTTGAAAATTACAAATTGAAATATATGATAATAAAATATGAAAATAAATAAACTATTTGCCGAAAGAAGAAAGTTAACATTTAAATAATTTTGAACTTGACCAGAATTTCTAAGATGAAATAAAATGCATTGAATAAATACATGTAGATGAGAAAACTGATGTACCGATTCCGTTGCGGCTGCGGTTCCCAGTCTAGGCAAAATAGAATAGGTCCAGAGCATCGACCTGCTATTATAGGTACACTGACATTTGAGAGGAGTGAAGAAAGTTTTTTCAAAGAAAGTACTATTAGAGGAAGGGCTGGAAACTAGGCGGAGGAAGGGGTTAATGTGCGTGACAGGCAGCGAATTTCAGGGGGGATGAGAGTGAAGGAATTTGATAATTTAGAGTAGTGTGTTGAGGATTTGATAAATTGTTAATATGAATGATTTCTGTTTTAAGCCTGTGCTGTGTCTGTCAACCTTTTTCCTGTTTCTAAAATTTTTTAATCATTATCCTTGTTGTCTGAATGCTTTTGTTCTAAGGGATAAATGGCAAGGTATGACTGTGTTGTATGTTTAAGCATGTATGTATTCTTTCATTCTTTGTTTAAAGACGCTATCGAGAAATCTAAAAATATGCCGATAGCGGTGGCGGCTTGTGTATTTTTCTAAAGAGGCGTAATTAGTACAATCTATGAAATGTAGAAATTAGATCACCCGCGTGGAATGGGATGAGAGAGACTTTTCGGTTACGTTTGTCGCTTCCATCAGGCTACGCTTTAAGATTACTCCGCTCACATCCTGGTCTTTGGCTGAAAATAACATGACCAAGTGATGTGGTGATGTAGTTGAAAGAGACAGCAGTTTTAGATGGCAGTTCAACAAGGGAGAATCACCTTCCGTGCCATATTCCTTCACAAAAATGTTCCCTCTTCTGTCCGCAGGAGCACTATGAAATACGGGCCCTACATATAGAGCTGTAACTAAGACCGCTGTAGGCGGTTACTACACGAGATGAGCAAAAGCTGAGATATCTTTCATACGACTTCGATAGCTTTCGTGAAGCTTAAAAGGCGCGCGTTGTTTAAAACGTGATCAAAGACAATTTTTCGTAGCCATCAAGTAAATACTTCAAACATCAACGCAAATATTTTATTTGGCTTTTTGAGAAGATGTCTTCCTTCCCTGAAAAGTCGCCACTGGCTGCGGGATGTTGGTTTATTGTCCAAAGATAATGCAACCTCTTTAAGAAAATAATATTGGCGGTTTCCGTAGATTTCATTTTTTAAATTTTTTAATAATTTAAAAGAGCGTTGTTATTGCGGAGGAATGTATTTATTCGTTCGTAACACAATATTTCCAATAACTTTCAAAATCTCGACTAAGAGATGACGGTCAGTACTTTTCGATTTAATTTGTGTTCCCCCTTTGTTTATATGGATTAATCTTTGTGGTTTTCAACATAACCGAGAAAATCTTGGCACTTAACGAAACATTTAAAATGTGATTCAACGATTGGATAATGATATATTGGCTTCAACAACTTTGAGGTCATATGTGTGAAAATTTCAAAAAAGGTCCTATGGGCTTCATGTATTTTGTTCATATCTATGTGTTTATATTACCTCCAAAAATTAAAAGATTGTTTCAAATTCGAGAAGCCGATCAGCAAGATCGATTTCTGAAAATTCTATGAACGATATAGACTCTAGTGCCATTCACAGATAGATTTTTATTTATTTATTTTTTTACTGGATTGTTTTGAACATAGTGCAGTTTTTGACAACTTTACATATGTATTCATGACATATAACTTAACTTATCCTTTAATACTACTACAGAGGTTGGATAAACCATAATGGCACCTCATAGGAACTATTCCAGATCTGAGAACAATTTACAAAATATGTGGAATGGATATCTGTTTTTTATGCGAGTGGAATGGATAGGGTTTTTGCAAAGTTTGAATGAAGATAAGGTTTGGATATGGTGTATATTTGAGAAGAAATTGTGGGATAGGTAGGTGATGTGGTGCATGATGGAATCGAGGTTGAATTCCTTATGCAATTGATGATTAGATATGAACCAGGGTGCATTAGTGATTGTACGGAGGAATTGGTTCTGTACTATTTGAATTTTGTTGATTTTTGTTTTTGCAGCATTTATCCATACTGGGAAGGCGTAGAGAAGAGTAGGTCTGATTATTGTTTTGAATAAAGTTATTGCTATTTTGTATGGGAGGTAATTATTTCTATTTATTAGAATTTTTAATTGATGCCGTTTGTTTTTAGATTGTATTATTTTGATGTCTATATGCTGATTCCAGTTCATTTTGGTGTCCTTGAGCAGTCCAAGATATTTTATGGTATTTAATGATTTATTTTATGATATTTTATGGTGGGTAATCACAGATAGATGAACAGACGCTTTGAGTAAAAACCCTTTTTCAGTACCAAGGTCCCCCTAATCGCAAATATGCATGTTCTCACAAGCCTTGCCCCACTTATCGTTTCGAAGCCAGCATGCAACTGACACTTGATTTTCGTTGGCCAATCAAAGAACTTTAAATAAGTATCCTACACAAGTGAAGAGGAGAATGAAAACACGCGACCCCCTGCAGACGCCCGCGAGCCACTCGCCTTTTACCAGACCAGAGCCTATCGCACTTGAGACCCTCCTTCCCCCTCCCCTTCCCGCGGCCGACTCGATAAGCAGTGGGCCACATCGATCGCCCGCAGATTAGGCTGGGTCAGCGCGGGCCAAATGGGCCGCCCACGTGAGCAGACGTGTTAGAATATTGCCCCGTTCCTCATCCCCATGAAATATGAGCATCTGATTTTTGTTTGTTTGTTCGTTTCTTTCTTTCTTACTTTCTTTCTTTCTTTCTTTCTTTCTTTTTTTTTCCTTCCTTACTTTCATTCTTTCCCACTTTCTTTAGTTCTTTCCTTTTTCTTTCATTCGTTCTTTCTTTTCTCTTCCTTTTTTGTTTCTCATTCTTTCGTTCTTTCTTGTTTTCTCCCTTTCTTTTCCTCTTCCTTTCGTTCTTTTTGTTTTATTTATTCCGTTCTTTCCCGTTTGTTCTTCTTCGAATTTTAATTTTTTTTATCGCTCTGCAGATTCGATATTGACATACACACACATCCAGTCTAATGGATGTTGGTTTCGCTGTGCCAACGACTGGCGTTTTGTACGCGTAGGTGGAGCAGTGGCGGCGGCAGCGGCGCGGCGGGGGGCGCGAACGGAGTGCAGCGCAGCTACTGGCACGAGCCCGGCTGCGAGCCGCTGCGCGCCCTCACGCTGGGGCAGGTGGCGGCGAGCGCGGCGCGGCGCTGGCCCAGCCGCGAGGCCGTCGTGGCGCTGCACCAGGGCCGCCGCCTCACCTTCGCGCACGCGCTGCAGCAGGTGACCGGCCGCCCCCACCCCCGGCGTCGTCGCTTTCCGGTGCTTGCAAGAGCCTTTGCTCGCTTCGCCTCGCTGGGGCTTCGTCGTCGGCAATGAGGAGCGGGGAGTGAAGTGTTGTTATTACTCGCCCAACTTGTCTTGAACGATGCATTGAAGAAATGCGGGTAGAGTGGGGGTATTAGTTACGTAATCAGCCACTATATTTTATGAAGGAATGCCAATCTCTGGAGAATCAGTCTTGCTTTCGCAACTTCCTCAATAATTAGCGTTCTAACTTTCGAGGTGTCTCCTGTGATGGAAGTTCACCTGCTTCGGCCCTTTCTTTAGATCTTTTGAGAAAATCACGGACAGAAGTTCTCGTCTTCAACAGAACGTAGTTTCTATTTCGCGCCAGTGAAGATGTGTTTGGAATGTTTTCAGTTCGCACGTTTTTGATTTCAACTGTTTATTGTGTCAGCGAGGCGGAAGCAAGGTCATCGTTCAAGAAAAGTTGCGCGAGTAATACCAATTAATTTTAACTTACGTATTCATCGTTAGCAAAGCATGCCTCTTGCAAGTGCATAGTCACTGAACATTTTGCATCCATCGAATATCCGCGAATTTCGGGCGGGACCGAATTCACTGATTGGACAGACCGACGCCTACTTTTTCGCTTAACCAGAACACAGCAAACAAAACGTAACTGACTGGGTTAAAACTGGGCCAAATGATTGTAGCCGTGTTTGAAAATATTTGAGAAAATTTCCAATAATAACATATTTGATTTTTCAATATTTTGATATTTTCAACAAGTTTTCGGAAAATTTACTTAGTTGCAACAAACGTTATTTTGTGGAAAACTCAATAGAAATGCGGCATTAAGCAACACCTCACTAGGTCAGAAGTGAGTCTAATAATTGTAAATTGGATTAAGAAGAATTCACGCAATAATCGAAATAATACATTTGAAATACACTAATCGAAATAATATAAGTTGAAGTGGACTTCTTGTTTCCTTTAATCCGAATGGCCGAACTTCCCTGCGCAGGCCGATCGACTGGCTGCTGGGCTGCTTCGCATTGGGCTGCAACCAGGTGATATGTTGGGGCTCTGCGGCCCAAATTCAGTGGAGTGGTACATCACCAATTTAGCAGCAGCCCGAGCTGGACTCGTCACCGTAAGTGGAGTCTTTAAGTGTGCCGGGATCGTATAAGCATCTTTCATGTATATTATGTCAATCATTTTATCACCACAAATGAGAATTCTGATCCCAAAATTCCTAGATTTGAAGTAAGTCAATGCACACTCACATTCGTACATACCTCAGAATCTAGATTACAGTCGGATCTCCATATATCGAAATTCTCTATAAATCGAATATTGTTTTTTCTGTTCATTCAAAATTCCGTTTAAAAATGTTTCTATGTATCGACAATTATATCTATATACCGAACTCATTGTCTGACTTGATATTCTTTCTGTGAAATAAAACTGTACAGTACATACTATCTATTAATTTTCTAAAAACATAGTGTTGTTTTATTTGGAAGAAGAGTATTACAACTGCGAAAAATATAACTCTCTTTCTGGACGTTTGTATATTTGAATAAATACACATACAATTTATACGTCCAGTTCCCAGGTTTCTCATGAAGGTACCTCACTCCTGCTATCCCTCCCGTTGGGAACTTGTCAGTAGTGGGAATGCGTTCGCCCAAACGATCTACAGATCAATCGCGTTCCGCTTTGTCTAATGGCCATGCCCTACGATGTTAGTTCATTTCAGCGCAGGTTCAATTTGCTGTTAAGCGCTTAGGAAGAATGTTGAAACAAAAATCTCCTAATGTTATAGAAAAAGCAATACTAATTTCATATTTCTATTCATAAATTTTTGGTATGAATGATTAAAACATTTGTAAATCATTTAATATTTGACCCTTTTTACACATTTTTTTTCAAAATTGGTTATATATATATATATATATATATATATATATATTATTCTAACATACCCGCCCACACCCCACACAACTTACGCACCTTCCGCAGTAGCACGCATGAAACGTAAGCAGGTTTGTTCAAAGATTTTGCTGCGTGAAGCGAGCTTAAAAACTCTACGGAACAGGATCTTAGGGGTGCGAGAAAGGTTAGAACCCTTGACACAATAAAATCACACAGATTGACACAAACGAGGTATAATTTAACCAAAACTTTTAGTGGCATCAGTTAATGACAAAAAACAAAGCATATAGAATCACAGCTTTTTACAAAGAATAATCAAAACACAGTAGAAACCTTTTTACAAACACACTCATGTGAATTGAACACATAATTTACCTTCAAGATTGATACTCTGACGTAATTACCCTAAACTACACTGGGAATTTCGCTTGGCAAATAATTATATCTAAATTTGTGCTATCCTAATTAACATTGCACATGAATCAAAATTCAATTTACAATCTCTCGCTTCAAGATATTACATGTAAAGAACAAAATGTGTGCAAGTGCCACTACTCTAATTTACAATTTAACTGTGTCTGAAACTAGCGAAATAATAAATGTCCTAAGTAGAATGTTTTTAGGCAGGCAATAAGCGCAATCAAAACGTCTCCTACTATAATACTGTACTTTGTTACCACGCCGTGTCCTCAATTCTTAACACTTTCCTATACTAGTTTTTCGCCTGCCGACTTGAAACTTGACCTATTTTCTGCGATTCCTAACTGTTAACGCTCGTGGAGATTTCGCAATTTTGGCCTTGATGTGCGTGGCGCTGGTCGCTGCGGTGACGCCGCTGCGGTCGCGCTCTGCGTCGTAAGAGAGACGGGATTCGCACTCTGCCGCTGCTTTGCCTTCTTGCGTCTCTTCCGTTCTTTCTTTCTCCGCAACCGTTCGCGTCTTTTTCCACGTGCGCCTTGGTCCTCGGCCTCTTCTTCTTTCTGCGTCTGCTTACCGGCCGGCCTCTGACTACGCCACGTTGCGAAAAAATGTCCCTTCACTTCACTGAATAGCCCGTGCTAGTTCTCCGCTCGTTCGCTTACTTTTTTAGCTTTTGACAAGCTAGAACTTTTAATGTTCCTCACAACGGGCAACTTTACTTCCGCGTGTTGTTAATTGAAGAAACACTACTTTTAATCTGCACTATCTCGCGGACGACTAACTAGACGTCTGTTTGACGCCGAATACTGCTACCTAGTAGTCGTTGCAGCGGCAAACAATAATCTAATGTTTAACGAAAATGGTGACTCGTTGAACGGTGATCCAGAGAGCAGCTGCTTACTGCGACGCGGTGGTGACCAGAAAAGAGGAGCTTTCGGCTGGGGGTTCGCGTGTTTATGGCGCGAGCGCCTGGGGGAATTCTCCGTGATGGGGGGGGTCCGCTACTTCCCCTCTCTTAACCCTTCACAAAGAAAACCATAGCTCGCTAGTTTCGCATTCGCTTACTAACTACGGGCAACGGATACAGGCCGCGCGTTTACTGTACCTCTGCCTTACACGCCTGTTATCCTCGCTGCTTCGTAGTGTTCACATATGAGACGGTTGTTTATGGGTGCACAATCCCATAACGCCACAATATATATATATATATTAATTTAATCTATATTATATAAATAATATATATATATATTATATATATATATATGTGTGTGTGTGTGTGTGTGTGTGTGTGTGTGTGTGGAACCGTCAGACTCAATATATGGAAGTCCGACTGTATTTCTTTAACATAATGAAAAGTGTCACTCGACTGATTGGTGATTCCGGGCTCGTCGACTACTAGAATCACTAGTTCCGTAAGTGTAGTGTATTTTTTCCCTCGGAAAGTGGCGGTGATCTTTCCCCGCTAGGTAGTGAGACGAGGCGCCAACCTACCCTCGGCTAGCAGGGATTTCCCGAACCAGTCATCTCCCATCAGCAGGACACCGCCCTAGCCGGTACAAGCTCTAAGCTCCCGACCGGCCTCCCTTCATATGTGGCATAGTAGTGGATAATAGCGTAAGTGTGAGAGGTGGTAGTAGCACAAGGATGGGGAAGGAAATATCACACGCAGACTTGACCTTGCGTGGGCTACCACCCCACACAATTTCCTTGTTCTACCAGGGGGGATAAATCCGGGGTGGGTTCCTTAAATTTTCCTTTCTATCCGCACTCCCAACCCACGCACAATTACGTCGATAGGTTGGAACCCTGATCCTGCCAGAACGCTTCAAATTCTTAGTTCGTAAGAAGAGAAAGTATTGTTTATTTCCCTTCTCTACTTCGAAAGAAGAGAAAGCATTGTAAAGGTCAGAGTCCATGTTTGGTAGATCATTGATACCGAAAGCTTGATTGACGACATCATGTCTGAATGTCAGATCGTCCGTTGGTCTGCCCGTCAGTGGTCAATACTAGCGCTTAAACCGTGAAACGTTTTCTCTAAAATTGATATTCCCCTATCATTGTGAACTACCTCGAGGTCTTGCAAGTTTGAAACGGATATTTTGAGTTTTGGGGTACTTTAAACATGATTGTCAAAATTTTCTTGGAAATGGCTCAAAATGCATTCTTTGAACTTTGTCCTCGGATAGCGTAAAGAACGCTTAAAAATTGCGCAGGTCTTATTTTCTTTAAATCTGTGCATTTTCGAAAATCAGACTCACGGAGGAGTAACGAAGGATAAACAGAGCGCTCCGAAGAGCCGTGAAGGTCCATCCTTCGATTCGGTGACCTCACCAAAGTGGGAGGAGAGGGGCACTCAGCTGGGAGAATCGCTCAATTAGAGATAAGAGAGACGCTCGGCGGACAAGTAGGCTGGAAAAGTAGGACCTCTATGAACGGGACTCTGGGGTTTATCCAAGGCACAATCGGTTTAGGTGGCTCAGGGCATCCACTGATGGCACTGCAGTGCCTCTGATCGGAAAGTCCTAGGGTTCTTGTCCTGACGGTCCTTTCGTCACTAGCTAGATAGCTAGGTTGAATTTGGCCGCTGTCTGGAGGAGAATTCTAGCGGCCGGCCGCTCTGATATGTAGTTTTCCGTGGTTTCTTCGATCAACAACAGATGAATGCCGGAGCAGTACCCTAACAAACGAACCACGGAAGCGATTTTCCTTCCATTTCCTTGTCCTATCCCCACCCTTAATTACAACACAGTTTCACGCACAACACTAGCACAAATGCCGGGAGGCCAGTCCGGAGCTGAAAATTTGTCCCGACTGTGGTGATACACCCGCTGATACCGGAGATACCTGGAGAAAATTCACAAGCAAATGTGGAGGTTGGCGCCTGATCTCATCTTTCAGAGCGGGGAAAATCACCGCCACCGCCCGTGATAAAAATATACCTGTGAAAAAGCCATTTTAATACTTATTATAATTTATTTATATAATTTTTTTATGTTTAGGTAAATATAAATCCAGCCTATCAGACTCCTGAATTGGAGTATTGTTTAACAAAAGCAAGAGTAAATGCACTTGTTGTTCCCGATAAATTTAAAACTCAGAATTATCCTGAGATGGTAGCAGAACTTGTTCCTGAAATAACATCTTGCATACCAGGGAAATTGGAAAGTAAGAGATTGCCTTGTCTAAAGTCTCTTATTATCATCAGTGATAAGAAATTCCCGTAAGTCCAGATTATTAAATGTTTACCAAAATAACTGTAACACATATTCGGATTGTGAGAAAAAAAACGTTTATAGTTTTGGAAATCCAAATATTTGTCTCAGAATATCCTCAGAATCGTGTTTTGAATAAAGTAAAAACAAATGTGAATTCTACGTAAATTTATACATACGCAGATTGGCCGTATACATAACATATTTCATATGTTGAGAAATTCATACAACGAGAAGACGCAATCATAAGTGTAGTGAAACTATGATTCATCCTTTGTAATAATGTATGAACAGTTCATATTTTATCATATTTTCATCTACAGCATTGCTGTCTACGTCATATTTTATCTACGGCATTGCTGAATCAGCTGAATAGGGCTGCTTTTCGAGCGTTATTATGAGCTTCATAATGAATCGCGTGTTCTTACGGAATCATAATAACACCCTTTTTTAGCCAGTGATATCATAGAAAATTAATGAACATTGGTAAACACTATCGTAAACATTTATTATAATGACTAACTTAACGTTTTAGAAAGTTTTATACAAATAATTGTAAACAAAACCGTGAATAAACTTTAACCCAAATATTTTTACAATGTTTGATTCCAATGCCAAAAATCTAAGGTCGATATTATCTAAACAAAGAAACTCAGTCTTTATCAGTTGAAAATACATTTTAAAATTAAATAGATTACTTATAGCTGTCGTAAATAAAATACTGAATATAATTGAACATAATTAATCTCGCATTAGTTCAATATGATGTCTGCATCAATCCTTTATCATTCAAAACTTCATTTTAATTTTTTGAAAGAAAATCTGTACTTATAAACTACAAAAAACTACGTTATCACAAAATAGCGGAAAAATTAGATTACATATCATTGAGCTCATTTTCATATATTTTCAATTAATTGTGGGTCATTATATCACATTTGTCTATTATCTATCTATATCATTTATCTTTCCCAATGCAGAGGAGCTGTTACTTACGAGAGCTTAATGGAATCAAGCACTGACGGTGATGTATCTCGCATTGAGACGCTACAAGATTTAATAGATCCGGATTCACCGTGTAACATGCAATTCACGTCAGTAAGTGACTGGATGAAATATCTTCTATGTTACGAACACCTTTGTACATTAAAAGCATGTAAAACGTCACCACTGGACAATACACTTGACTTATTTAATATTTCAGGGCACAACTGGGCAACCAAAAGGCACTGTTTTAAGTCATCACAGCATCGTCAATAATGCGTACTTTACAGGAAAGCGTCTAGGATTTGATAAGAAAGTATTCAATTTTTTATGCTTACATGTCTATTTGATTTCTGTTCAAATAGAAAATTATGCTTGGCATTTACAGAATTATTCTTCACAGTAATTTTAATTATTAACTCATTTTAGCCACATCGAATTTGTTTGCCAATTCCGATGTTTCATGGCTTCGGAAATGGAATTGGAATTATCAACGCTCTGCATTTTGGATGTACGTTAGTACTTCCTTCACCTACCTTTCAAGCAGAAACATCTATTAACGCCATTGAAAAAGAAAGGTAATGTATTACTTTTCTTTAAAATGAAAACTAATTTTGAAAAAAAATTATTATTAAAATCAAAGCATTTGATGACCCGCAGAAGTGATTTATTACATCTTATTTCTACTGTAAGCAGTTTGGTTTGCAATACATGGTTTGTATAAATGGTTTGCAATACATGTAGAATGAGTATAGTGAGGTTCACTTTTCAATAATTCGATATTCGACTTGCTATTTAATACAGGATTTTCTATTTAATTCTGTTGAAATCAACTGCTTTATAATTTCATACAATAGGAAGTAAATACTACTTTAATAGTTACTAGTCCCTGTATAATCTCTACGACACTGGACACGGTTCTTTGAGCTCATATACAATAGTTTCCCGCTGTGATATCAGTCACAGGCGTCTCGGACCTCAGCAAGACGGGTAAAACAGTCTCGATGAAATCTCTCCGGCTCCTTCCTTCGAGATAGCGGCTCGTGGCTGCCCTATCCTGCATCCTGCTGGGTATAGCATTCTTGGTTCAGCATTGCTGCTGACTGCAACGACTCTTACCGGAAGATACTAAGTTCGAGTTCTACAGCCAATTGCTGGAGATTCCTTCTTCGCGTCCTTGTCGTATCACCTCCCCTTACACACACACACATCTCACACTTACACGCACTACAAAACCACATATCCCCCGATCAGACAGGAGAGTAGAGCTCTTTCCGGGTGTGGATGTGCACCCTTTAGTTCACCCACTCTATAGTCCGGTGCTCAGTGACTACCACCTCTTCCCTAAGTCGAAAGACCTCGCGAAGACATGCCTGGATGAGCAACGATGACGATGTCAAGGAGGAGGTTAAACGCTTCCTGAATGACATGGTGGCGAGGTGGTAACACATGGGCGTACAAAAACTACTTCAGCGCCTACAAAAACTTGATTGAAAATACATATATCTTTGTATTCTAAAATAGTAGGAGACTTTACTTATACGATTCCATTCGTACGGTGTGTCCAACTCAATATTATTGATCAACACGCTGGCTGCCGCACTAATCAATATAATGACTAGAGGGCGGATTTTAATGAAATGTCATTTTCTTCTTTTCACTTTAGAAAAAATGCCGTTTAGTATAAAAAATTATTTTACGTTATGACAAAAGGACCCATTTTTATACGCCATTTTTTTCTCGCATTTTTCATCAATTACGACTAATAGACATTTTTACCTTTTCCCGTCATTTTTAATGCATTTTTCGCTGATTTCATTGATTTTTATATCATTTTAATGGTACTTGCTTCAAATAATGTTTACGAGATGCGACAAATGTTCTCGCCAAAATTCCTGAGTACCTTCACCCGCTAGTCTATTCGATTTATTCGTTTATAAGTTGTGTTGTCAGCCATTGTGTGAGTATGTAATCTAAGGTTCCTGTGACACCTATCCGCGACATGTGGTGGTTCAGCTGATTTCGGGATAACTAAAGATAGAGTTTTTCTGGTAAAGAACGGTCCAAACTAGACGTTTGAAAGCTGGGTTCACCTGAACGAATAGAAGAAGTCTCGATTACATCAGTAATGTATCCAACAGCTTGAGTTGCTTATCCGAATTGTTTTTATCACTTTTTACGTCATTTTTCTTTGCTTTACGGGCATATTAAAAAACTTTTAAGAGCATTTTATTGATCATTTATGCGATGTTTTAGGTCATCAAAATTCGCCCTCTAATAATGACGAACCTTCTGGCCAAGCTAACATTAACTCGTCATGACGGAACTTTTGATGCTCAAAAGCCATTCTGATCAATTCAGTGAGCATCACGTTATGCTTCTCACGGCAATCAACGTAATGAGACAAAACTTAATGTTAATGGACAAAATTATTAAAGACAGATCAAAACTTAATATTTTTTGTCAAAATTATTACATATATATATATATATATATATATATATATATATATATATATATATATATTGTAACGAATATTGCATCACATGCCGGAATTCGTTGCGCGCGGATTGCGTCATCTGCCTTCCCCCCCTCCCCCCGAACTAGACGGTTCCGGACTATCCGCGAGCCGCGGGAAACGCCGAGAATGTGCCGGGTGCCTGGAGACAAGCGCCGGGCAGGTATAAATGCGCCGCTGCCGGCGGCCGCGAGTCAGTTAATAGAAGACGTGAGTAGAAGTCAGTGGGTAGTAAGGCGTCAGTGAGTGGCAGAGAAGCAGTCAGTCCGTCAGTGTGTCCGAAGTGGAAGCTGTGCTGTGAAATGTGCATTGCGGTGAAGAGTGGTGCAGCGGTTGAACAGCAGTCAGCAGTGTGGAGTCTGCAGTGGAAGCTGAGCTGTGAAGTGGGCATCGCGGTAAACAGCAGTGCAGTGGACCCTGGTGTGCGCAGTGAAGTGTGGTCTGCGCAAGGAATTGTGGTCTGCGCAAGGAATTGTGGTCTGCGCAGGGGAATTCTGGTCTGTGCAGGGAATTTGGGTCAAGTGCAGTGGACCGTGGACAGTGCATTGGACTGGCTGATACTGTAGAAGAAGATAACTGTGTAAATAAATAGTGTGTAAGGAGTGAACTGTGTAAATAAATCATCAAGAGAACGGAGTCGTGTTCAAAGAAAAATAATTAAGTGTAATATATCTGTAAATAGACCAAGTAGATTTTAGTGTATAATTGTTCCCGAATAAACGTAATTGTTCAAATATATTGTGTTGGTTTCAATTCACCACGGAGGAACGTTACAATATATAATATGTATATATAGTGTTAAATTTAAAATCATTGTTATAAATTATTAAAAATATATACATTGTGTCAAAACTTAATATTATTGGTCAAATTATTAATATATAAAAATGCTCATAATTCTAGTTTTTTACATTTGTAATATATTTTTATGAAAAACTCATACTTTCGGCGTTTTATAAAATATATTATTTATATAACGGTTTATAATTTATTATTTTTCTCTTTCTTTTTAGATTGGATGTAAATGAGGTGTCAATGCGTGTCAATGCGTGTCAATGTCAATGAGGTGTCATCGCGTGTCTCTGTCATTACAAACGCTCGCCACTGGTCGGACATCGTAGTCATTGAATAAGCATGTACCCCGTGTTATCATTTTTGCAGCACATATAGTTGAATCTATAAATTCCAAATTTGACAAAAATACGAGAATCGGGGAAGTAGTTAGTGCCGATTGACGTCCCTCACATTTCGAGATATTTTTTCGAAACTATTCGACATTCAGGATTTCCTCTCCCACGTGTCTCGGTTTACCAAAGATTCGTACTACCATGTACCAACAAACATTTTTTGAATTGGAAAACTGTCGTGATTTGCGCGATGTGCTTGATGGCCGCTTTCTGTTCACGAGATAAAGCAAACAAAATTCCACTTTTTCTTTTTTAATCGTGTTTGAGCTCGTGAGTTCTGTGCCGAAGAGAAATTGGAATGTAGGTCCTGCCCGCTTTTCAGGTTCGAAGAAAGAGAATCTTTTCAAACTCTTATTGTATTCATCCCGCGGACTGTCACATTACATTTGGATAAAACATTGAGAAGACTTTTGGCTTCACAAAATACTGCTTGCCACGGACGGGTTTACCCTTGCAATATCTGTTTCAATTTCGAATATCGCGACAACTCGAGGCGTACGATTAATCTTACCACAGGTCGAGGATCGGTTTAAGATATTCAAACATTTCGGAAGACAAGAGTGTCGCTCGATAGCTGTTTTTGAGTTCGAATGTTTGACTTGTCCTATTTCGTCGTGTCAGCCGTCGCCAAGGTACCCATTCCTCCAGGTCCATCTCGTGCCCCCACCAAGTTACCCCTTCTTCCACGTCCATCAGGACTCGTAGCGAGTCGAGCACGCTGTTTGAATTCGGTCTGCAGTCGGTGTGAAGGTCGTACGCGACATCGCTGATGCTCGCTCGAGGTACATCACACAACGCGGTCCCGACGCTTCCAAAAAACCTTTAGAGATTTTGGAATCACTCGTGATAGATGAATACCTGGTGGAGCAACCCCCACCTCGTCATGATGGAGGTGGAAGAGATCGCTTTTCGAAATTCCGACTCCTGTCATATGTGCAAGCAAAACCTCGGATAACACAGATCCACGCGTTCGGGACCACAACCATTTCACAAGGTGCTTTCGCGGCGCTGCTCACCAGTCGCGTTACGTCTATTTTCCTGCACCGAAACACATTCCCGTGGTGATGCATGGCGGGAGCAGGTACGATTGGCACTTCCTCCTCTAAGCCTGGACAGACAGCTCGTACGATCGTTTGCGCGACGTTCCACGCAACTTCGAGAGGTTTATCGCTATTTCACAAAGAATTGGGAAAGTGGTATTGCGCTTTTTGGACTCCATATGCGAGGGTTTCTCGCGCTCATGTTGAGTGGAGCACTGTCTTCTTCCGATTTGCCATTCATGCGGGAAGCTTTTCCCGAAGACGCTCACTTCGGCAAGGCTTGCAGGAAGTCTGCCTTCCCGTATGAATGTGTGCGTGAATGGACGAAACTAGACGAGGCGTGCTTGACAAATGCCAGAGCGTTCTTTAGCCGCCTCACAAAACCCATTTCGACCTCAGAGTACGCTCACGCCCAGGAACTGTGGCGCACCTTCTCCATTGAAGCGATTGGTGAATACACCGGACGTTATTTACAGATCGATGTCCGCAAATAATGCAAGTTAAAATTTCAGCAATATTTCGAAAATTATGTTTTGAGCTGTACGGTTTTGACCGGTATAGTATTGTAACGTTTCTCGTGAATTAAAACTCACTGGTATTATTTAAACAAAAACGTCTATTCGTGAACAATTATACACTAAAAGCTACTGACACTAAAAACTACTTGGTCTATTAACAGATACATTACACTTAATTATTTTTATTTACACAAGACTCCGTTCTCTTGATTATTTATTTACACAGTTCACTTCTTACACACTATTTATTTACACTGTTCTCATCTTCTATAGTATCACCCAGTCCGATGCACTGTCCACGGTCCATTGCACTGCTGTTTACCGCGATGCACCCTTCACAGCTCAGCTTCCACTGCAGACTTCAGACTGCTGACTGCACACTTCACAGCACAGCTTCCACTTCGGACACACTGACTGCTTATTCACTGATTACATATAGTGACTTACTCTGACACACTAACTTACACTGACTACTTCTTACTGGTCGACTGCTACTGACTGACGTCTTACTACCCACAAACTTCTACTCACTGACTCGCGGCCGCCGGCAGCGGCGCATTTATACCTGCCCGGCGCTCGTCTACAGGCACCCGGGACATTCTCCGCGTTTCCCCGCGGCTCGCGAATTGTCCGGAACCGTCTAGTTCGGGGGGAAGGGAAGGGGCGCCGGCAGATGACGCAATCCACGCGCAGGGAATTCGGCAGGTGATGCAATATTCGTAACAGGATTACATCGTTCCGGGCTCTCGAGGGACACCGCTTTACAAACGACAGATGTTCGACCAGAGTTGCTCTCAGACATTGACATGCATCTCCTTCTCGAGCGAGGCATTCGTACAGGTGGGATTCGTACAGGTGTCGGACCGACACGCTGGAGCTAATCACTGCACCTGGGGAAGCTTATCATCCATCTTATAAGCTATCTTACCTCTTTTACGTCGACGCGAAAAACTTCCGCAGGGCTGTACTGCGCCTACAGCCCTGAAAAAGACCTTTCGATATGTCGGTCGAAATGTCAGCACCTCAGCTATCGACGCAGCGTCACCCGGACAGCCCAGATCATGACTCTGGCGGCGGAAGCCTACGATATCAACTCTAAAATTCACCGCGTTCTCTCTTTAGATCACAGTTCTTGGCTTGTCGCGACCATGGATCTGGACAATGACCGTCGCCGTCTCGCGACACCCAACTTTGAAGATAAGTTCTACAAACGTATGAATAACTCTTAATGGAAAATCGATGGAGGACGTCATAAACCAACTTTCTGTGTTCAGAATGTGCTTCCGCGTACCATAGCGAGCGCATTGCAGTTGGTAGTCATGTGTTTGAGTTCCGCGACTTCAATTGCGGCTGCTGCCCTAGAGGGCACGTAGCTAGGCGCTCTTGCCTAAACAAAGGCGCCAGCTTCCCAGAATAATGGCGAGCAACGGATACAAGCGTATTTAATACACCTCAATGCGCGTTTTGAATTTGTTCATTCGAAGAGATCGTGAGAAATTTGGATCGTTCATTCTAATGAATGGAAAATTTCATTGAATTACCGAATATGCATTTAATTTCAAACAAATTATGTTGCAACACCACACACAAAACGAAACTACATTTTTCATTGCAAAAGGAAACTAAATACTTTACTCCCCCCCCCCAAAAAAACAAACATGGGTTTACCAGTACGCTCGTTGCACGAGAGATAAAAGGGCCCGCTCCTTAAATACAACTCATTCTTATTGACATGTTTTCCTGCAAATCTAGCAAACACAAGAAGACTGAAACATTTGACTAATGTATATCAGGCAATTGAAGAGATGGCGGAGACTTTTGTCTATCAGATCTTAGTATAATATGAGGTCTGTTTTTCCTGCAAGCTTTTATCATTACTGCCTTGCTCGACCGTTTAATATATTATCGCTACTTACATCATTATCTTGACTAATAAAGGTTTTCTTTGTTTTTTTATTTATTGCCAGCCTCTTTGTATAGGTAATGATTCGTAAATATTCCAATAGTGATTTGTTATTCCCCTGGTACCGCCATTATTTCATCGCTTTGTATGAATAGCGTAATTTGGCGGTTCTCGCGCCAGGAAACTTGACACTTTTCAAAACGAAGAGACTTCATTATGAAATTGCAAGAAAAAGCACTCTGATAAATGGTATTGCATTTGAATAAAGAATTCGAGTTTCTATTCAGGTATTTAAAAGATCACAGCAAGTAATCGCTGGATTCTCAGCAAAAAGTAATTAACACTTCTTGTGACACATCACGCAGTGCCGTTCGAAAATTATCTTGTTTGAGTCTTTGCATGAAACATGCCTAATCTTCCATTTCGAACACACTAGATAGGAGTTTGAGTGCGCCGGTCGGAGATTTCTACGAAAATTTGCATCTCAAGGAAAAAGAAATATAAATTACTTTGATACAATTGTTGGGACAATGTGCAATGTAATACGTAGCGGACCCAGAAAGTAAGTTTTCTTGTTTTGTGAAATAAAAGATAACATAGTTGCATGCAAAACTTTATTGGCAACAGTTAAAGTAATGTTTGAGCTAATTTTCGACACATTCATCACACGAATTGAGTCACTTTTCATATCGTGGTAACTTTTGTATACCTGTCTCGTAGAAGTGTGCCGCCCGCGACTGGGACCAATGTGACACAGTTGTCTTGAGCTCGTCGTGAAAACGCTGTCGGGAAGACATCAGGTGCAGGAAAAGATTAAAATTGCGGGGTGCGAGATCAGGACTGTATGAGAAAGATCAAACAGCTCCCAGACGAACTGCTGCAGAACGGTTGCTTTTTGCCGCGCCATGTCTGGACAAGCAGTATTATGGAGCAGCACAGTAAGCATGCCAGTAAGAGCAGACGATGAATTTCGATCGGCGCGACGTTGTGCGTTAAAAAGGTCTATCACGGACCGGACCTCGCAGGCGGAGGACGAATAAGCGCTGCCATTTCGGGCTACTGTTGCAGCGCTACTGGCACTCGGCGGGACCTGACCGTCCGGCACATGATGGATACGTCAAGGATCCGTTATGCACGCGCAATTTCCTTCCTAAATGCGTGTACTTTCAAAGCAAAAAATAGGGAAACTTACTTTCTGGTTGCGCCTCGTATTTTGAATAATAAGATATTTGAGTAATTTTACCCCAGTGTCGTCATCCTGATTCAATTGCTTTCATAGGTGCACCGCTATCTTTGGAACACCCACAATGTTCGTCGATATACTATCCAAGAACGAAAATCCTCAGACGTTTGATTCACTGGAAATCGCGCTTACGGGAGGCGCTCCTACGCCTCCACATCTCATTCAGAAAATAGTTGAATCCTTGTCCTTAGAAAGATGTGTGGTGAGTGTAATTTTTAGCATAATTGTTTTAACACATTTTTTGTTTCATTATTCTTGCAAAGAATATTATTTCTAATAATAATCAGAATAAATTACAATAATACAATTAAAAACCCGACAACCAATTAACAAAATATTATAAATCACACGCGAAATGAATTAATATATTTCCTATTAAATTTATTAAAATGGAAAGTAAATTAGTTTTGTTACCCTCTTTTATTGAAAGCTATTGTTTTATTAAAAAATTGCTTGTAATGGTTAATTATTATTCAGATATTTCGTTAATTCATTTGTTTAATATAAAATGATGTGCATGACATGTTTCTACCAGTTAGCACTGGGCATGACTGAAACCGGTCCAACCACATTTCTTCACCTACCACAAGATTCTAGAGAGCGTTGTGCCACCACAGTTGGCAAAGTAATGGATCACACGGAGGTAAAAAATATTTCAACAATATAGTATTCCTTTCATACAAAGTGAAAAATGTAATTTCACTTTTTCTTTTTAACTGGTGTCTTCAATCTTCAAAAATACATTTCTTATATGAAGTAATTTAGAAAGGGAATTCTAAGTAAAACTCTCAAATCACCATTTCATTCAAAGTTTATTTGTACTGATATATATATATATATATATATATATATATATATATATATATATATANNNATATATATATAAAACAAACTTAAGATACACCAGTTTTCAACGCCACCAACTCTTGCTTAAACCAGAAAAGTTTTCATCGCTCATCAAATATCGATGTGTGATATCGTTTTTGTATAGCCCATCAAAAGTATAAAATATCGAGATACGCGAAGAATGAAAGAAACGAATTGAATGAAGTGAAACAAGCCCGAATAAGTCCCGATGGTCACAATCATTAACAGTCATCGTCAAAATTTCATCGTTATTTCAGTAAGTAGATTTTACGATGATTAAGTCGTACCTCAAAAGTGATAGTGCAACTACCACGAAAATAAGCTTATTTTCATTGATCCGCTGAGAGGCTCAGTTCTACACCGATTTCTTCAAGCAGAGTGCACTAATTTAAGTAATACGAGTAAAATGTAAAACAAGTGCCTTTTCGCAATGAGTACGAAACTCTAAATTAATGTTCTAAGTGTTTATCACGGAAATTTTGTGGAAATCAATATTGGAGAAAGATAACTGTATGTGTGAGAGAACTTGTTTTTGTTCTCCAATATTGTAAAGATTAATATGTCAGTACAAAGAATAATGCATGCAAACTAGGATTCTTATTTTTAAATCCCCTTCGAATTTATTTACGGGAAAGACGAAGAAAAGCGTATCTTGAATTTGTGAATGTAATATCTATGAACATTATAGGTGAAGGTTGTTGACAGAAAGGGCGATATTGTGCCTATGGGACAGCCTGGTGAACTGCTCATTCGCGGATACTGCAACATGCTATATTATGGCAATGATGAAGAAAAGACCAGAGAAACGATCGATTCTAGTCGTTGGCTTCATACAGGGTAAGAATCGTTCATACAGCTTAGCATACAACTAACATGGTGTAGAACAGGCTTGCACAATATCTGCTTTTTAAGTTCCGGACGTCTGCCCGCGAGAGCGGGGAAAGTGCAAGAAATGGGGGAAGACAGCTTTGCGAGGAGGGGAGCAGCCTGTCATTGCACAGTGAGAACGACGCGGCGCGTAGCTTGAATGTTTGAACGTCTAATGCAATGATTCGCGCTGTGAAATTATTTGCCCTCTTATTTAAATGGGTAAAGTACCGTATTTATAGCTACAAGGGCCATAATTCAGGTTCTTTATTGCACCGGTATGTATCGACATATTATTATTTTGTGATTATTTTTAATGTATGATCAATGTGACTCTTAAACCATATTATAAAGCAGCGGCCTTAAAAAAACAATTATTTAATGTTAACTAACAAAAATTTACAATGTAATAATTTATTTTTCACCAGGAATATTATAGTCTCCAAATGATAGCAAAAGTAAAACGAGATACCAACGATCAAAACCTTTCTGATGATATCTTAAGGCAACCACGAGATTATAAGGGATCTTGTTAAATAGAAAGCAAATGGCTTGAGAGATTTAACTATTTCTCATAGAAAAAATATATCTTTATCTAGTCAACCCGATCACAAAATTTGTTGCCAGTCGAACTCAAACTTAACTTCTTTCTTTTTTTCTTTTATAAAAGTCAAAGGGTCACAAAATATAAATATTTTCAAAAGCTGCTACTGTAACCAAATAAAAATGAAAAATTCCGAACAGAAAATATTATCTTCTTTCAGTTAAAAAAATTGCCCTGGAAAAGTAAACAGAAAAATTTTCCCATGCGAAAATAAAAAAATAAATTACATATCTACATTTTATTTCCTCCCCTTACTAAGTAAGTAGTAAAGGGAAAGTATTGTAATCGTGTTGTGAAAATTTACGAATTTTCGACGTATTATTGTCGTGCCCTGGAAACAAAAAAGTAGATAAATCTTGTTCCTATGTGGAGTAAATTACCTCCCCTGACACGTTGTGTAGTTAGAAATCATGTTTTGCTCCTTGATACCGAAAAATCTATTGAAGCAAAACATGTCTGGTCGACGCTATCGCCTAAACCGTTCCCACGATTTTCTCCAAATTCGATCTAAATAAACTCAAGGCTTGGCGAGTTTGAAACTGATATTTTGATGTACTTCGCATTAAGCTTTAACATTTTCAAAACTTTCTCAAAAATGACTCCACAATTTTTTATTAAACTTTGTCCTCGGATAGCGCAAATGACGTTTAAAGAAACGGCGCAAATTTCATTATCGCTAAAATCTCTCAATTATCAAAAATTGCAAAAGTTCAAATTTTTTCTCAGCATATTTCTACAACTACAACATTGATGATAGAGATGATAATGGACATTATTGTTGAGAAAAAAATAATGAAAAGGAAAATTGCGATTTTGATTCCATTTGTTTTTGCCCTCTATTAATAACAAAATTACCATTTTCCCAACATGGTTATTTCTTTCAAATTTCTATTAAAATTACTTTAACTTTCATGCTAATCTTTTTTTTTAAATAGTCATTTGATACTAATATTTTAATTTTAGTCCTATTCATCAAACACTATCCAGATGCTTGAACATTTATAACTTACAATCTTCAAACTGTCTATAGGATTCGTCTTCCATCTGTAATGTTATAAATATCAATTAATGCATTTGTCTGAAAAGAAAAATAAGTTATATAAAAAAACTTACCATTTCTTGATGATCTATTGAATTTTTCCCCCAGGGACCAAATTGTTCTTCATGAAGATGGCTATGCACAAGTGGTAGGTCGAATCAAAGACATAATAATACGAGGTGGAGAAAACATCTTTCCAAAGGAAATTGAAGACTTCCTCTCCACTCACCCTGATATATTAGATTCTCAGGTTTGTGATCAGAATCCAATTTAGTATGAAACTTCTAAAGAAGCAAAATTATGCCGATTTAATTACAGGTTCTGGGAATTCCTGATGCACGGCTTGGGGAAGAGGTGTGTGCATGTGTTCGATTGAACACAGGGAGTAAACTTACTTCAGAAGAATTAAAAACCTTTTGTAAAGGCAAGGTAAGAAAATTAGAATATTCTAGCTAAATGAATTTTTAAAAAAAGTTTAAATATGTAAAATAAAATCTAATATGCGAAGTTCTCAATATCTTACAGTAGTGCTATAGACACAAAATGCTATTACAAAAAATTTTAATTTTCAGATTGCTCACTTCAAGATTCCCAAAGTGGTCAAATTTGTTTCCGATTATCCAAGAACTCAAACTGGAAAAGTTCAAAAACAGAAGCTTCGAGACATTATTCTGGATGAAGCTTTTAATTGACAATTTTCTTCCTCAATGGAATATGTAAATGGTACATTTAATTCAAACATTTGTTTACAAATAAATTTTTAATTTTCTTCTGGTGCAACTCATTTTTAGCATGTATAAATATCCTCAATTAAACACATCACAATCTCTGTTTAGTATGCTATCAAAGAACGTTGGTTTCTCAAATTTTTTAATCCAAATTAAAGTTTAGAGATTGACCATACAAAAATTTCATAAACTTGTTTTATTCTATGCCCCTTTTTGACTTTGTAAATTCCTGTGAATGAATTTCTATCTGTTATTTGTTAAACTCTCCCACTCACTATGGTAACTTTCAAATTTTATTGTGCACGTAAAACCATATATCAAAGAAAAAAATAAATATCAACAGATGCTTATTTGTTATTCTTACATTAGATTTCTTTTATTTTCTAATAACTAAATGCACTCATTAATTTGCAATTTCCAACTGTATTTGCTGCCAATTCTGTAATGAAATATTTCATTTAAAATTTCTTAAAATTTTGCAATGAAAGCAATACAAAATCATAAATGTTCATCATTCAAAGCATCTCCCCAACATAGTCTCCCCCCCCCCCGACCCCCCAAAACACAGACACTCTTGCTAAAGTAATATTATATTCTTTATAATTAATATTTTCCCTTTCTAACTACAATAAAAACACATTATGTCATCAATAATATGTTTTATTTCAGCAAATGCTAAACATATGCAATTGATGATTCACTTTTATGAACAAATTATATAATACAAATAGAAACAGCAAATTTGAACCAATTCTTTAAACTTGGAAACATAAAATTGTGAAATACTTATAGCATATTATGCACACTTATCTGTGATATGAATTAGTAATTTACAATATACAAAATATGAACAAGATGTACCAGAAACATGACCTTGAACAATTGCAAGGTAAATATTAACATGCGAGGAGGATATTGACATTACACTTTTAATTGTTTATCATTCTGTTAGGGTTGGTTGTAGACAAAATTAGTGGGTCTGATTTTTTAATGAGAAACTTTTTAAAAAGTTTTAAATAATTTCTTATCAAAACCCTCCTCCTGCTTCTGGTACATCAACTCCTACACTTGAAAGAAGAATATACATCTCTTCAATCACATATTTGCTACTTCAATCACCTCTTGCATTCGTATTAGTTCATCCAACTTCTGTTGTATTTTAAAACAGCTGAAAAACAACTTGTTTAAGTAACTGTGAAATGAATCTATAATTTAAATTTATTTTAAAGTACAACAGGAATACAAAATTAAAGTTTTAACTAATTAAGGTTTGTTACACTTCAAATAATAATTTTTGGTATTCCTTTGCCTCAGAGACAAAATTTTAATGATTCGACTAGTTCAGCAAATACACAATACCTATTTTGAAATATATGTGCATTCATTTACTCCCAAAATCCAAGTAACATTTCTTGATCCATTCACACAGTTCACAGAATATTTTGTTGTTTGATATTCAATTTATTACATAACACTTCATATTTAGCAAGTCATCCATTTTTTTCGAACTTTCAGGCATGTGAATCCTAACCTATGTAATTTTATATTAAAATATCTGATCAAGACAATATACTATCTTTGTTATATCTTTATTGTTTATAATATGACATTTTATGAAGACTCCCACATCAATAAATAAAATAAACTATAGCAAGTGAATGCTTGTCTTCTTGTGGATCAAGTTAAAAGCAAGTGAAATTATAATAAACTCAGAATGAATAATTTTGTACTGAACATGCAAACCTTACAATAACCTATCTTCCACTCAACTGTCAGCTGCACAAATAATCTGACATTTGCTGATAATAAGACCCTGAAATAGTTTCTGTGTTACAATTTTTTTTTTTCAAAATCACATCCTGCCAAGACCATAATTAAATGCAAAACAAAGTGGGGCACAAGAAACATATTTATTCAGGGCTATCACATTTTTTACACTTAAATACTGTTGTCTGTATGAATGGTTTTCACTCAACTCCTCTAATAATGTGTGACAAAGTAAATGGTCACAACTCTGGTAATACATAGATCGGAATTCTCCATTCTAGGATGCATTACACCTAAAAAATTCTCATATAATGTAATGATCTTCAAATTTCATTTAAAGCATTTGATCGTTCTGTTGTTCTACATATATGCTTATATGCTTTCAAAGCGCTAGACAATAACATGTGTCATAGCATACAATACACTGCAATCGTTTCTTAACTAAAATCTAAAGCTATACCTTTGTATTAATTATCACATCAAAATGCTGGAACAGAGTAACTGGTTATTCCTTCAACCAAGGGTATCATTTCAAGTCTGCATTACAATTGTTTACATATAAATATTTGTATACAAAAAATTTATGGATTTAGTTTCAGGAAAAAGTGACTTACATATTTACGAGATTTGTTTGAGTATGTTTTCTTCAGATATTTTTTGTTTCGTTTATACTAAAACCACTGGGAGAATATTTCAATTATAATGCAACCATAAAACTCTCAATTGTTATCCTTGATTGCCGTTACATAAAACAAATGCCTTAAATTGAAAGGTTTCAAATTTCAATGTTAACATAAATATAACACAGTCTCATCACGATCATCTACTTCATCTCGATCATTTTCATCTTCTGATGTTTCTTCTGATATCATTGCTTCACCTGCAGCATCTTTGGGCATTAAGGCTGGCTGAGCTGCTGCACATGCAGCCAAAAGGGATAAATCAGCAGTGTTTGGCGAGCCACAAATATTTAAAGCATTAAAAGGGAGAACATTCTGCAAATGGGATGATGTTTCACTGTGGCAATAATTTTCATTTGATGTAATATTTTTACCATCAATATTATTGCGTACATCCTCATCTGATGAGGTGTAGGCACTTGAGCCAGATGATTTAGTGGGCGATTCATCATTTGAAAAATCTGGCATATTACAATTCCAATTCTGTTCTCCGTTCTCACTTGGATCTTTCTCAAGATCCGAGCTCAAATTGTTTGTAAGAATCATATCCATTTCATTGTGAATTGTATGAGGAATGAAAGTCTTACTGCCTGAATTTTTTACAGAAATCAACAGTTTGTTGTCCTGTGAACGAATTTCATGATTGTTCTCAGGAATTTTATTGTAAGAATCTGAAATATTTAGTCCCCAATTAATAATGTCCACACTGTCCACTGAATCAGCAGAAACTGAATGTGATCTTGATCGGGCTGAACCGAAATGTTCAGTGCGATCTCGATCTTGGTCTGAGCATGAAACCGAATTGTCATTCTTGGAATTACTCCTCCTAAACACTGCTGATGATGAAGATGATAAAGAAAGAGAACCACTTTTGTATCTGCGCTTGGTTGTGGGCAGAGTTTGAGTGCGAGGTGAAGAACCAGAAGGAGGTGGTGTAGCACCTCGAAAACTTCCAGCTCGTCTCACTAACCGAGTTACAAACTCCTTTGAAGACTCTTCCATGTCTAGGACCCATGAAACAGAGTCATTTTTTTCCACAATACCCTTTATCTTTGGAGAAGATGGTGGAGAAGAAATTTCATCACTCATGTCAGGCCGTAAGGTTTGGTAGCTTGAGTTGCTGACCCTCTTCATTAGTGATGATACTGATAATCTTGATGGAGTTTCACAATCAGCCCTAAAACACACAATACAAATAAGACAAATTGCATAATATTCACAAAATTTGATATAGTGACACTAAAATCAACACGCGTCTCATAAATAAAAAAGGTGTCCTTCAAAATCATTTGATATGAAAGGGTTTATAACAATGCTTATCTGGAAGATCTTCGATTAATCTTGTCCACTATATAAACAAAAAATAGCCAATCTTTGAAGAATTCAGTCCAAACTTTATATTTAACATGACTTACAATGGTCCAAAGAAACAAGCAGAATATAGCAAAAAATATTATTCTTTTGCATATGCATCAATCACAAAACTACATGGCAACAGCAAGACTGACCATTACCTGGCATTACAAAATGAAAACTAAAAACTATGCTCACAAGAGAAATGATTTTATGGAAGAAAAAAGCCATGAAAGGAACAGTTTTAAACTGAACACACAAGAATCTATTCACTTGTTCATTTATTTGGGGTATAAAGAATAAACTTGCCTGCACATTTGATAACTTTAATTTAATTGTTACATTTAATAATGCATATTGTTTTAATTTAAAAGAAAAAAGAATGAGCAAGTGAATAGATAATAAAGGAAAGCATCACAAATGTCACTAACATGTTATATCAGTACATTGGAAACAGGAAATTACATTAAATTGTTAATAAATATTGTGCATAGGTTTGACATAGCAAACCATTATTAGTAGATTCATTCATTAGCATAGTTCTGGGTAGATTATAGTAGCAGAGCAATTTGTAACTCAATTCCATTAGTTATTTCAGGATTGAAAATGTAAAACAATTTTGTATAAACTATTTTCTTTTTTTCTGTTATTATTATCATCATTCCTTTTTAAATAGGAAAATAATTCCTTCTTTCAATCTATTACAAAAAAATCTCTTTTGTGTTAAGTTAATCTGTTAATTATGGTAAATTAATATTCATACACTACACTGGGGTTCAGTTAAAATTTCCGCTTGTGAATGTTCAGTGACATATTAGTTGATCTGCCAAAATATCCAATGTAGGATTTCGAAGGCAAAATGTCCAAATGCAGAAAAACCCAGAAACAATAATGTTAAAAATGTCAAATTTTTTCCCATTCCTATTGCAATGACAACTTGTGTATCCTCTGTGAAATTATAAAATAGTTACATTGTATGTAGTATAGCATTATAGACATGGCTAGTTAGTATTACTAAATACTCTAACATTACCACAGATAATTAGTAATATGAGATTTTTCTCTTTAAACTTCAGTGGTACAATGGATCATATAATAACACTTCAAAAAGGAAGAAAAAAAATTAGTAAAAGAAGGAGTTATTTAGAAGTAGATATAGTACCAAAATTTATTTGCACTTTGTAGAAAGGAAGAATTGCAATGACAGATATATAACCAATTCTGATCTACACAATATAAGTTTAATAAAAGAAAGAAGACAATATTTACAAGAAGCAGATCCTGCTGCAATAAAAATACAATGAATAGACGAATCATACACTTATTTAAAAGCACATATAATTTGAAATTTAATTTACAGACAAAAGAAAGGATTCAGTAGAAAGAACTTGAAAAAATTAAATGGTAGACATTTTTCAATTTTGGGACCTTACTGAAATATAATTTATGGACATTTGAAGCCCTCTCGAATGGCTCGTTAGTGTGCTCGCTTTCCACAGCGCAACCTCAAGTTTGATTCCCGGCAGAGGCAAATTATAACTGTGCGCTTTCCTTAGTATCTATTGCTTTGGGACAATGAGAAAGCCCACCCTAAGGTTAAGAAGACCAGTATATATGGTAGAGGGATGTTTTTGTGCTAACCATACGAAGCCCTTATCCCATAGCCGAGAGGTTAGATCGCTGCTGAATGGTCAAGGTCGGGTTGTCGAGCCAAGAACACAAGGATAAGGCAGAGCAGGACATTTAATAAATTGGACATTTTTACTCTGTACAATTATTTCAATGGGCATTTTTGCAGTTTGGACATTTTTATGCGTGGATATTTTTAAGTGGAATTTGACAATAGACATTTTAACCTCCAATCCTACATGGATTCCTTGGAAGAAAATTTGCTACAATAATGAACACGTCCTGATCTGATTATAAAGTTTCAATCTGTTTCAAGTAATTTTTCACTAGTAAACTAGAGAGGCTTCAACATCCATCAATCATTTCAATAATTTCATTAATGTACATACTCGTACAAAATAAAATTTATATCATTTTCATTTGTTTTGTGTTGTAATCAGCATTTAAAATATCATAAACAGATTCACACAACTTCCAGCAAAAACCACATGTTTACAAAAAAAGCTATTTACATTTCTCCATGCCACATACACATCTTTCAATCATATAAAACCAGTTTTTCATGCATGAAGAACACAAAGACAAAAACCAAAAGCATAGTTAACTATTGTGCAATAGAAGCAGAAATTAATTTCTGCAACATCAATGAAAAGTGTGAAGTTTTGAAACACAAAACAAAAATAATTTGTTATATCAAAATGTGACCCAGAAAGTAACAAAAAGGATGGTTATTTGAAGATTTCTTCCAAATTGTTACACAGCGAAAGTCTTGGACAACCAAACAAAAAATGCGTCTATTAAAGCTTCACGAAACAGGGCAAGCAAAGGAAAATAGAAGAATTTTTCTCTTACTTGGCTGGTGAAGCCGACTCTGAAATTGAGTGGAGTAAACCATTTGTATTTTTACGTGATACAGCAGGTGATGAAGTTCCAGAAGTACTGGGCACTTGTATGTTAGCGGATGTACCATTCATGGCAACAAGAGCACTAAAAACTTCCGCATTCTGTTTCAACTTCCATTGCAACTCCTCTGTCAGCAATGCCAACCTATTTTTGTGATTGACTTCTTTTTGTAGAGCTTCTACCAAAGCAATTTGTTGTTGTGAAGCTTGCCTACAAAAAATTCGTAATGTCATGATCAAGTGATATTTATCAACAATGCACTGATATAATTTGAAGTAATTGTCCGTGTTTTTGATTGTTCATAATGCATCAATGTTTCTCCATGTTTTGCTCCAATACAGCTCAAATTTTTCTGTAGTAATGTAACAGCATAAAGTTGTCTTCAAATAAAATGTACTGACTGATGTATTACTTCCATTTCTTCTTTAATGAATAAAATCTGTATATTGTTTGTAAATGAAAATCAAAAACACAATACTTTTTTTACACATTACAAAAATTATTTCATAATAAGAATTGAATTGCACAAGGGAAATATTTAATCAATCAATCCTTAACTCTAGTCGACAAAATGTCAACAAAACTCTTAGCTTACTTCGGATTATATAATCAGGTATGTATTATTTTACACACAATATTGTGCAGCAACAGCACCCTTCACAAATTAGCGAAATAATTGAATTTCGTTTTATATAGTATTTCAAAATTGTGCAACATGTTTCTGTAGCATTTAATGCCATATGAAAATGAAGTATGTCTGGTGCTCTGTTGATTTATGACATCAACAGTGGTTATGTTTATAAGTACTGCCAAGGAGGAAGCTGTCCCTGCCAGTTATTGCATATTAACCATTTTCTCAAAAGCCACAAAACCACAATATATACTAAAAAGCATTGAAGAATGCGTCATTTACAACACTCTCCAATGATCAGAAGTGATACAAAGAAGTGATTATGATGATACAGTTGAAACAAAGATAATTCATATAGGAGTCATTGTTTGGAACTTCTCACCTGCCAGCGACCCGCCCGCCCATTTTATTTTTAATTATTTGAGTATTGATGGTATGAAGTTGCATATTTTATTGAAAAACTTCCTTTCATACACAAATTAGACCTATATGAATCCAACATGAAAAAGGTTTTAAGTTGAGCTCCGCATCCCAATTTTTGTGTCGGACTATTTGTACTCAAAAATTCTTAAAAATTCAAAAAAATTCATTAAAAGGAATTTAAGGAAGTTTCTTCTGAACTTAATCCAGAAGCAGATTCTTACTAGTGAATATAAAATATCTATAAGCAGTTGAAAATAATAAAATAAAATTCAAAATATTAAAACAAAACAAGAAAGTAATCTGAAGGTTTTAACTACCAATTGTCATATTGTTGTTATTGTGTATAAAAGTGAAAAATTACTATAGTATGACTTTCATAAAATATGGTTAAAATTCTACTTCAACTTCAATGAGCACTAAACAGAGATCAACAACAGCAGAAACAACTTTTGGAAGGAAAATAATAGACCAAAAATTAGGGTTGTTCACACTCAGATGTTGAAGTAGACTGATGTATTTGTAGAAAATTATTAGTCATTGATGCTCAGGGCTAGTATTTTATTAAAAATGTTAAGATATAATGCTTCAATACACAGGGAGAGTCATGTAACTTTAGCACCACCTAGAACTTTTGAAAGGTTGAAGTTATTGCAATTTATAGTTTTCACGGAAGTGCATGGAGGAATCGGGTATACGTACATACGTGTATTCATATCTACTTTATCACTTGTATTTTATGAGATATTTGAGGTAACTTTGTTTTTCCAAATGGAGCTACACATATTTTTTCAATCTATCATGATGAGCGTAAAAAGATGAATCAAATGATATACATATTGTCGTATGTTAGATAAGCATTTTTTAAAATAATTTTGATTTTTCTGCAACTAGTGTTTAATAGATATTTTGAATGTAACAGTCCACCACACAAGGTCACGCACAGCTCCCCCTGCTAGCACGTGGTGTTTGAAGATACTAAACATATTCCGAATATTCACAAAACTGTTGTAGGTTTTTTCCTGAACTTTGCTTTCTATCCTTCCACATTTTTATTTTCTTTGTATTGCTTACGGATTGAACATAAGGATTTGTTATAAGTAATATGTATTGAAATAAGATAGATCATGATTTCAACTTCATCTAAAGGTGTGTCATACTACAGGATATTAATGTGATCTTGAAACTAAACACACTGCAACAGTTTTGTGAATTTCTTGACGATTTTTATAACAAATTTCAACCATGACAAGGAAATTAAGATTTTCTTAAAACTCCATGGATCCTCTATTAATTTCTTTTGTTTCACACAATTATTATTCCCGTGTTGATCTCATTCTCAAGCAAATATTCTCAGTATATATTCTATCATATTATGTTCACTTTGCAATATTAATGATTCTTAAATTATATTCAAATCGTCTTCAATTGTGTTCACTGACATTTTATAAAGTGAAGACTTGCCTATCTTAAAAATTGAAATAATTCTTGTATACAAAGCCATCAAGTATGTTCACAGATCACAAAGAATATTTAATTTTCAGAATAGATTGTGAAATCCCAAAAGGAGCATTCACATTCAATAATTTTATAAGAAAAATTTTGCAATCCACTCAACAATATATTATCGTTTCCCATAAGTTTTCTGAAAATGCATGCATGCATCTAGAGATGGCCAAGGTCTCCATTTATAGATATAAATTAGTAATGAAGTGCAATAATAATACCAACAATTGAAGGGGTCAGGGGAAGATAAAGCTAGCTCGCAAAAATTACAAACTTGTGGGTTAGCACCATTTTCCCTCTTATTTGTCAAAGTCAACCGACCATTGTGTTCATTTGTCAACAATTGTCAATTGTATCAATTACTTCAACAGGAATAGTAAATTTCAAAATAGTATTTGAAAATCTACTCATTAAGTAGTCATTATCAATTCTTTATATTTTCAAGAAAAAAATATATCACCTGACATTATAAAAATATCAACTTTAAAATTGTTCAAAACAAAAATGTAGTTTCAGAAAAATAATAAAAGAAGAGACACAGTTTATAAGTGATCACAAAATGTACACAGAATGAAATTTTTTTTGTGTTTTAGCCTTGTTACTATTTCTCAAATGAAGGCTTCCATGCTGTACTTGCTTGGGGATGGAAAAAAAATATAGAATTTTTCATTTGTATGGCCTTCAAATTTTCTGAAGGTTGTAACAATTAAAAAAAAAAGTGTATTGCAGATAATATCAGAAACCTAGGTCCTATGAACATATAGCTCTGAATTTTCAAATTTTTCAATTGGAGCAATGTGAACCTTGTTTTGTTTTTTCTGTAATATACATTTTAACCTTATCAATATTTGAAAAAGGTCTAAATAATTAAAGTGCAATAATTTACCCACCTCTCTACATCACCCTTATCCTTTAATTGTGCTTGAAGGTCCTCCACTCGAGCCTCGAGAACTGTTACGCGTTGCAAGGCACTAGGTAATTGTTCTGCTTGACGTGTTAAGCTTCCATTATTCTTTCGCAGTTCTTGTAATTCTTGATGCTTTAACTCCAGAACTGACTGCAGAGATCGTACCTCCTCCTCCAGCTCATTACATCTTGTAATGGATGCCTGCAAGAATGAATATTTGGTTATAAAAAAAGTGTAATTTTGAACAATTTCCATTTAAAAATCTTTAACTACACAAAAAATAAAGGTGATAGGCAATTTTTAGATGTATTGAAATAAACCCATATTAAAAATGTTGGAACGTTTTGCAAAATAATGCATAATTTTGGTTGACTTACAAGTTTCCAAATTTATTAAACATCTGCTTATATCAAATAATTAACACTTAACTCTTACAAAAAATTAATAAAAATAAAATTTGAAGATGTTAATTTAAACATTTGGAGTAAAACAAAAATGTATTAGAGGACTCATCTTGGACAAACAAATTGACTATTAAAACAATAAATTCATTACCAAATTTCGAATTAATATTAACGATCTGAATTCCGAAAATTTGGTGCATAGTTTCAATTAGAACTGCAATTCATACAAGCATCCCAAACAAATTTCGTATTTTACAAACAGAATTTGTAGTGTACTAAACAAGAGATTTTGTAGCGAGATGAATTGTGAGTCATAACAATAACTTGTTTTTCAGGTCAATTTGAAAAATATTTCCTTTTATCCTTCCTTGTAAGGCCAGTCATTCTTTGTTGTAGATTTACTGCATGTAAAAGTGAAGCCTAAAAGAAGTCACCTAGCTAATTTCTAATTGTTTCCTCACCTAAGTAATACCTTCTTTTGCTACTAGATGGCAACAACAGTGATACGAAATTTACAAGGCCAGTCAGAAGAGTAGGCCTTAGCCGATGCCTTGCCCCATCAAATAAAGTATCACTGAATTGAATGGAATTGAATTTAAAGTATTTGACGAGTTGAAACAAAACTAACTCCAAATATGCCAAGTATACCAAGAAAGAATTGCAGAAAGAAATGGAAAGTTAGTATCATCATTAGTTCTACTACAATGATGTCACAAAAGAGGTTCATGAATACCTGTAAGCGACTATCCTTGTTATCAGCTTCTGAAAATATAGCAAGCTGTTTTTTCATCCGCTCATTATCATCCTTAATTTGAGAGTTCTCAAATTTCAAATTCTCTTCAAGTTGTAGGAACTCTTGACGCATTTGAGCAATAATATCTTCATGCTCCTTCCTAGCTTTTTCTTCTTTTTGATTATATTCACTGATTAAATTACTTTCTTTTTCTCTATACAGATTTACCAATTTAGTTTGTTCTGCAGCATATTGATTATTAAGTTCAACCTGGACATAAAACTGTTCAAGTGTAATTACTAACAAATCACCCAATAAAATATCTTATAAAAGCAGCACATTTTCAACAAAGTATGTGTTTTTTCTTCCTTTCTTTTTTCTCTCCCCACACAAGATTAAAAGAACTTACCTGCATTTGCAATTCATTTTTGAGAGAAGAAACTGCAGTCCTGTGGTCATCTTCCACTGGAAGTTCATAAACCAAACATTATATTACAATTATTCAAAAAAATATTGAGATACAAAATTATTGCAACTCCATTCTTAAAAACACACATTAAAAAATAATTTATTTCAAGAAAAAAAACTTACATATCCTTTTTTCTTCAATCATATTTTGCTTTTGTTCAATTAATTCTTCATATTCTCTACTCAGCTGACTTAAACTGTTATTTTTTTCTTCTAATGAAGATTCCAGTTCAGAAACTTTACATTTCATATCATCTGTAACAATTTTACATATTCCAAATAAAAAAAAGGTAACCACTGAATCCTCACATTTGTTCATATATTCCGAGCAAAAAAGGATACTGTACCTAACAGCACTTTATTGTCTTTCCATTCACGTTTTATTATATTATAGTCTGCATGCTTTTCATCCTTTTCCAACATTTCAACCTGCAACAGAAAATATTATATCATTTCAACTTTATTATTATTATTTCAAGAAGGTATCAGTATATCACTAGCATATACAATTATATTTGTTTATTATCTCTTTTTTTTTCTTTCATTTTTTAAATTTTATTTTTACAGTTTTGGCCATTTTTTCTGACCTCATAGATTCTACCTTAGTTTGCAGACAGCTCATGCTTTATGCATGATACAAATTATACTACATTTGCAGAAATCTTTTTTCCCAATAAAAGTATTTTTTGGTTCTCTTGATACTCAGTTAAGAAACCAACACTTTTCAGGACCCGTTCCATAAGTTGAGATTAACTAGAGATCACGTATACTCAATGCTACAGTGATTCCATTCATAGAGGACTAAATAATTCTACACACTGTAACTAAGTTTTTGACTGAATACTAAGCCAGAAGAATACTGCTGACAAAACAAGTTCATGGTTTCCATTTATTTGTGTATGGTTTAATTTTTAAGTCTGCAAATTGAATTATGAAGAGTGAATTATTTTGACGATATTGAATGCTTACCACTCCTATCATTGACTTAGGTAAAAATATGAAAAATTTGATCATACAGAAATGGTTTAATGCCAATTTATCAGGATTGTCGACGTTCTACTGTGCCTATTGACTCCAATACTATTAGGAGATGATGGTGTTAAACATACAAGACTCCAATCCTCTAAGTTCAAGAAACTGCCAATCTTTAAATGAAGTTGGACAAGGATATAGGTCCTACATCCTGGATGTGCAAGAATAATTTATCCCCTTTACCTGAACTGCAAATTTGAAACTGGCATATTTCTATCTATTCAAATTCGATAATTTTTTTATTGGTCATTACGACATATTTTGACTAAGTTTGGACCTTTGTCATATTACTGTCAAATATAAAGATTTAGGTAATATTTTTGTTATAATATATTTCAATTTCAAACCATTTGCTTCTCCAGTTCTTAGTACACAAGAGGTGATAGTACTTTGTTGTGTACACAGAGTAGTCTGTGAATCAACTGAAAGATATTAATTCATTCTTAATTGCTCAGGCAGTGACCTAGATGTGGCTGTGTCATCACATCATGTTTTTTTAAGAAGACACATCATTCCATGTCTTCCACATCAACATGTTAAAGTAAAAGTTTGTAAGTACATAAGTTTAGTTAAGCACTTGCAAGCTATTGTTTCAGCCTGTGACCACTGATTTGTAAATTGTGTGTTGCATTGATATAAGAACTGGACTTTCCATAGAAAGACTGAAGGTGGTGTAATTTCATTCCCTGAAGCCAAAACATTTATTACATGATTTTTATATTCTGTATTAAAATGCTGAGACAAATATTGCTTCGAGGTTATAGCTTGTTTAGAAGCCCTCTAAAGGCACAGGAATTTACTTTCAGTCCCAGCTGTGTGTGAAAATGGGCACCCACAGAAAATGAGAGGCCTGGAGCAGTAGATGAATGGGAGGGTCCCTTACCGCCCCTCTAATAAATGAAAATAATTACCTCTCCATACAACAGAAATGACTTATAGCAGTTAATTCGAAGTAAAAGTAAATAGGCATGCTTTACAGGTTTTGATTTTTTTTAAATGCCGGGGCCCCAATTAATTTGGGCCTGGGGCAAGCTTCCTCGCAGCACCCACCTTGCTGAGCGTGTGCTGCAGGGCGACGGCGAGCGCGTCGAAGCCCACTGAGAAGTGCTTGAGGCGGCGCTGCAGGGCCTCGTGGAGGACCCCGTCCTTCTGCTGCTGCGGGGCGACAGCGGCCAGCGGGGATGCGAGTGCGGTGGGGACCTGTGGGAGAGATGACGATGGAATCGACATATGATTGAAGATTCCGGCCGCGTCAACTGCTACGGTCATTGGTCTCGTTAGTGTAAAAAATGTTACATCCCGGGAAGTGGCAGTGTTCCTTCCCCACTGGATGGTGATGGCGGGTGCCGACTTACACGTCGGCTTGCGGGATTTCCCTTTCCAAGTATCTTCCCCAGCAAGGCACACGCTCTCAGCGTACGACTGGTCTCCCGACTTGAGAGGTAGTGTAGTGCATATTAAATGTGTATGTGTATGTGTGTGTGTGTGTGTGTGTGTGTGTGTGTGTGTGTGTGTGTTTGTATAAGGATAAAGGAGAGAATAAGAAAGAGGAAGGGAAAGATCACGTCCGTGGCCAGTTTCTTAAAGCATTTCTCCAGCATTCGCTTAGTATTGGCCAGAGGTACAACGGAAAACTACTAAGAAGGGCAGCCGATCACTAGAATTCTCCGCCAGAGGGCGGGAGAATTCGGCCTGACAATTATGCGTGTGTCGAAAATCCGCAACCGTCGGGACTGGAACACCAGGACCTCCTGGTCAGAGTCGCTACAAAGAAAACTGTAATGCTGCCTCTGAGCCAACTCAAACGGTCAATGAAATAGAGGTTTCACCCTTTTCATACGAACAATTCACTACTGTATATTCATAAGAGTTAAGAGACGTTTTAAAAATGATAACATTCGTCATATAAATAATTTACTCTAACGACTATTTTCTGGGGAGGGGGAATAGAAAAACGATGAAAATTATAATACTACGAAATCCATTCACGAGGTTACCACAAGTTGTTCTTTATCTAAACATGTCATCTCTTTTGTACCCAATATTGGCGTAATGACGCGTTATCTTTAAAATAAAAAAGTGCAGAATTTTCGTAAAACTATAAGAAGTTGCATACGAGTAAATATTGGTAATATCTGGCATGACAGCACTCACAGGCATTCCTTTTTACTCTGGCACCTTACAATGATACAATTATTGATAGCAAAAAAGATAAGATAATATTTTGAATGAAAAAACAACAACAGAAATCACTGAGCAACTTGTTGTGAATTTGTTCCGTCTTTGGTCTTGAGTTAGTTGAGGTTTTGCTGCTGAGATTATCCAGTTGTCATAACAGCGTGTTTGGTAGCGTAGATGTGTATGCATTAAGTCATAAGAAGTTAGAGTATTGTGTAGAAGACCGTGTGTCTTTTAAACGCGTGTGAACTGTTGTTACAAAACAGAAAGAGACAAAATGAAAGTTTGTTGTTAAAAGTAAAAATCCCTTGGTTTCTGATGTCCTCTTCATTGCGAGAATTACGGAAATCCTCAGTAAGCCGATAAACAGGTGCCTCAAAATAAATGTTACAAACTTCGAGGACATGTAGAAGGGGTGAATATCCCTTTTTGTCAATGAACAGGAGGTGGGAAATTTCAAATAACGAAGCTACACATGTGACCTTAGTTCATGATTGTTGAGCAACTCATCATTCACTAGAGTTTAGCAAGTTGCCTACCAAACAGGGGGGAAATGGCACATGAGTAACTTGTCAAAACGTTAAAATCTTCAAACCTCTCCAAGATTTAGAAGTTTGTAACAGTTGATGTGAGACATTTTGCATATAAAAACAGAAGTAATATTTCTGGGGGGAAATATTTCTATGAAAAATAACCTACTATATGTATGTATTCGAATACGTCAATATGAAATTTTACAAGAAGGAAACTACATTACTTTTTGTCGAATGAGAAATTTTCTGCGCAATTCCGAGAAGGGTGGAATAATTAACTACAGTCGGCTACTGGGGTTTTCCCCAACCAGATACCTCCCACCAGCGGGGGCACCGGGGCAAGCTCCAAGCTCCCGACCGGTCTCTCGGCATGTGTGGTAGTGTAATGCATGTAAGAGTGAGTGTAAGCAAAGGACAGGACAAGGAAGAGGATGGAAAGATCGCGCGCGGTCCCTGGCCCGTTTGTTAGGGTACTGCTGCGGCATTCGCGTAGCATTGATCGGAGAAACCACATACCTGGGTGTCGGGGGTGAGGGCGTGGG